GCATTTAATCCATTCATGTTTAAGGTAATTATCGATATGTATGTTCCTATTACCATTTTCTTAATTGTTATGGGTTTGTTTTTGTAGGTTCTTTTCTTCTCTTGTGTTTCCCACTTAGAGAAGTTCCTTTAGCATTTGTTTTAGAGCTGGTTTGGTGGTGCTTTTAAGAATTCTCTTACATTTTGCTTCTTTGTAAAGCTTTTGAGTTCTCCGTTGAATCTGAATGAGATCCTTGCCAGGTAGAGTAATCGTGGTTGTAGGTTCTTCCCTTTCATCACTTTAAATATATCGTGCCACTCCCTTCTGGCTTGTAGAGTTTCTGCTGAGAAATCAGCTGTTAACCTTATGGGAGTTCCCTTGTATGTTATTTGTGTTTTTTTCCTTGCTGCTTTCAATAGTTTGTCTTTGTCTTTAATTTTGTCAGTGTGATTACTATGTGTCTTGGCGTGTTTCTCCTTGGGTTTATCCTCCTGGGACTCTCTGCACTTCCTGGACTTGGTTGGCCATTTCCTTTCCCATGTTAGGGAAGTTTTCAACTATAATCTCTTCAAATATTTTCTCGGGTCCTTTCTCTCTCTCTTCTCCTTCTGGGACCCTTATAATGCAAATGTTGTTCTGTTTAATGTTGTCCCAGAGGTCTCTTAGGCTGTCTTCATTTCTTTTCATTCTTTTTTTTTTTTTTAATTCTGTTCTGTGGCAGTGAATTCCACCATTCTGTCTTCCGGGTCACTTATCTGTTCTTCTGCCTCAGTTATTCTGCCGTTGATTCCTTCTAGTGTATTTTTCATTTCAGTTATTGTATTGTCCATCTCTGTTTGTTCTTTAATTCTTCTAGGTCTTTGTTAAACATTTCTTGCATCTTCTCGATCTTTGCCTCCATTCTTTTTCCGAGGTCCTGGATCATCTTCACTATCATTATTCTGAATTCTGTTTCTAGAGGTTTCCTATCTCCACTTCATTTAGTTGTTTTTCTGGGGTTTTATCTTGTTCCTTCATCTGGTACATAGCCCTGTGCCTTTTCATCTTGTCTATCCTTCTGTGGATGTGGTTTTTGTTCCACAGGCTGCAGGATTGTAGTTCTTCTAGTTTCTTCTGTCTGCCCTCTGGTGGATGAGGCTATCTCGATCATATTATTTTAAAATAATATAAAAAATAATCATTAATAATAATAAAATAATTATTTTTAAATTATTTGAAAAAATAATTCAATATTTGACTGAAAGACAGTGATCCCATGTTGGCTAGTGAAACAAACATAATAGGCCTCTGACAGTAAGATCTTTGAAGACTGCTTACTCTAGATATATTTTGTGTTAATTTCAGCTTTTGTTGTTGTTAATGATGTTATCCTATATTATCCTTAGAACCTTCACACTATTTCGACCTCACCATCCTGAGGACTTTATTGGTATTTGGATTTTTGACTAAGATTTGAAGGGGACTATATTCTAGCATTGGATTTCCATCATGAACTTGTTTCTACAGGTATTTTAAGAGGAAGGGAAATAATTGGGTATTATAAAAGAAAAACTCTCTTATTCCCACATTTTATGGATTTTTTTTTAAAAGGTATGCCCTTCTCTAGATAATAGATGATGCAAAATTTGTAAGTTGCTTCATGCATGAAACTCTATTTCATGCCTAATTTAGAATGGCTGATTTTGATGCCAAGATTATTCTCCATGGCTGTATTCGTTCGTCTATAGCACTGTGTTTTTTTTCCCTCAAATTCTGAATTTCATCATTTGAGGATATAGTGATAGTCACTTCCATGGTTGGTATATAAACTTTTTAAAAATTAGTACAGTACACTGCACTGATGTTCAAGAATAAAACCGTTAGAAGATGCAGTTGCCTCAAAGCATTTTGGGTAGTATTGTACAAGCTTCTCTTTCTCATCTTCCACTTTTAAGTTCTTGCTGCTGTGGTAACAGTGGTTGTGGGTCTCACTTGGGCCGCCATGTCGTCTTGGACCTCGCCTCCAGCACATCACGGGAAAGAGATGACTAAGGGGACCTGTTTCTAGGTGATTTTAACTCTGCACATTCAGCCTTGAACCCCAGCGCACGAGTGGCCACAACTGCGGAGTCTGGCTTAGAAAGGACCGGCATGAAAAGCCTTTGCATTATGTGGCCGCTGTTTGCTTTTTCCGTAACCCTCGTGGAGATTTGCTGAAAGCTCGGAGGAAGAATTGGGCCCATGTGCAGTGTGTGCTGTTTGCCAGCTAATTGTATAGCTGATTGAATGCTTATCCTGTCTGTTTGCTCTACTCTGGTGCCCAGAATAGCCTTGGATGGGGTATGGGATATTAGATTATTCATATGTACTTTTGTCTGAACAAAAGATTAGGAAACTTAAAAAAAAAAAAAAATATGTGCGAGATGGCAAGAGCCATGTTCACGGGGGAGTCACTTCCTCTTTAGCTACTTAATTTCAAATCTCTTGGGATACGGAGCTTGCTTAAGTGTTCCGGTGACATTGGGGAAAGAATGTGGGCCTGTGGTGAAAGCCGGGACTGGGAATTCAGATTTCTGAATCCTGTTCCCAGGAGCACGCAGGGGTCACCCAGTGACATGTGATGCGTCAGTGAAGCATTAGAATCCCAATTTCCCTATCTGTGAAATGGACATAAAAGGGGCTAACTCGATGTGGGTGAACTATTTAATATTTGCTGGGAACCAGCTTGCTCTAGTGACCTAGAAGAAACACAGACGGAGGTAGAGGTTGACCTCATTTCTATTTGTGGCTTTAGTGCTGACTCAGTGAGAAACTTGTAGAAATCAGCTAATCTGGCTCTGGGTCTCTGTGCAGTCAACAATGAAAATGAGAATTATAAAATCTTATCTGCACTGGGTCTCCTAGTGATACTGGCGGTATTAACTAAGTACTAAAAATATGCCACCAAATGCGTTAGGAAGCTTTTCTGCTGATGTGCCTTTCGTATTTCCTTCGCATCTCATGCCAGGTTATTTGAGGATACTCAGTTCAGTGTTCACATTTTTTAGCCAGCGGTTCAATTCTATTTTGGGTAGAATTTTCCCACATCTGAATCAAGGGAGGAGGTTGATATGATGTCAGCGTACAATCCGTCTCCAGCGCCAGGATTTTGTACGTTTGTATCTGCTGTTATTTTAGGTTAAGAATGAATGTATTTAACTAGCTTTACATTTGAACAAGTCTTGGTCTGAGAATGTTTTTCTTTGCCGGGCCTCAGGGAGGACAAGCCAGTGTTCTGTGTCAAGTCCTATGCTGGGCTCTGGGGAATATTAGCATCTGTTCTTCCTGGTTGATCCCTGGATGCAGCTGGTCCAAAGGGCTGGGCCAAACTGCAGGGCTTAACTTTCTTTACTCCATTTAGTATCTGATGGTCTCTTCTAGAGTTTGAAATAATCTCTTTCCCATTTATTCACACACCGTTTCTGGCTTCCTGCCTTTTACACTTTCAATGACTCCCACGATCTGTGGAGGTCCAGTGATTGGAGACCGAAGTTCAGAACCACGTTTCTGCATTTCAGAAAATGCAACAGACGCACAATTCACCAGCAAGTTCTGGGACTGGCCGAGTGGTTTGGAAGGAAGGATGACTTTGGAAGTTTGGGTTCTGTGTCCTTTCATTTATGCAACGTTGAACAACTTTAAGTAACTTTTGGTAATGTGCTATTTTGGGTGGTAAATGTTTATGTGATGTAATGTATAGCTTGTCAGTTTATTTTTTACTTTGAACTAACATAACTGTAGGGGAA